CCTGCATTGGCTGCCTTTGATTTCTGGGTCCAATCCAAAGAGCTGCTCTTTACCTACAGCATGTGGGGGTCCAGTGGTCAAATGAAGAAGGGATGCTTTGCACTTCTGCCTCCTGGTTGTTAGAGGAAGGCCTTCCCTGGTGCTGCCCTATTTTAGGGAATAACTTGCCAGCCAGGGTTTTGGATGGCCTTTTCCCACCTTGCCTTTGGGAATGTGGCCAATTTTCATCATGCCTTTGGGGGCTAATGCTTGTGGCCTTTCTAGCTTTTGGGATGCTTTAACAGATTGATATTTTTGTATTGTAATTCTTTTAACTGGCTTTTATTGTTATTGAATATACTTTGGAACTGGCCTTTTCATCTGGAAAAATAGAAACAAATAACATTAAAATAATGTTCCTATGTAGCATTCCTGGCTTTGTCTGCTCACTGTCTGTTCTTGAAATTGTCTAAGGCATTTGGCACCTTAAGTCAAGCCTGGAGGAGAGTGGTTGCCAACGACACCTGGGCACCTTTTCAGCTGGCCAGGAATTCTAAGAGTTGTGGAGCCAACCCATCTGTAGGGCAGGTTGGGGAAGGCTGGTCTAGTTACATGCAGAATGCTTTCTTTTCATTACCACTTCAACTTCTTTGACTCAGGAGCATATACCCATTCAAATGATTCCCCATTTGAGGTGGGGTGTGTTAGTGGCAACTCAGGAGAAGAAGTAATTCCGCATTAGCACCAGTGGTCCAGAAGTATTTTATGTCAGCTGGCCTTAGGTCTGTGCCAGAACAATCTCTTTTCCTTACAGTGATTAGCCCTGGAGCCAGGATCAGGGAAAGCTTGGAACTTAAAAAAACAAAAGGACCTTGGTCTTTTATTATTTTTACAACATAGCACAGAAATCCAATTAATATGCATTTTTTTCTGGCAAAGTTGACATTTTAGTATTTAAATGTCAGAGACTGCTTTTTTTCTTTGATATTTTGAAATCCCTCTATTTGCACCGCCTATTATCACAGTATTAGACAGATTCACATGCTTTTTTGTTGAAGCTGATTCTGTAACAGGCCCTGACACAGGGACATATGTGGATTAAAATAAGCATGATTAAAATGTTTTCTCCCTCTGAAATTTCAGATTTCTTTGGCATAATCAGTTTGCATATTAAATGAATTTTATTTTATCACTGTCCCTTAGATGCCAATGAATGTTTCCTTTGGCAAGATGGCCATCAAACTATGAACGTAAAAGCTGAAGACAACATCTCAGAAAATATTACAAAAGTTATAGCATAAATTGGGTGAAAGGACTTTGTAATAATTACTACTGATCACATTAATTTCTGTAACCCAGTACTCAAAAGATAAATTTGCTTAAAGTTATAAATTCAGTTAATACAAAACAATACAGTATTTAACTGATTTGCTTCATTGTAATGAATAAAAAAAATTCCTCTTTCTAATGTATATATTTTTACCTGGAAATCTCAAGTACTTGTGAAGTGATAGCTTTGACAATGACAAGTTCTAATGCTCAGAGTTACAGAAATAGTGTGTTTATTAATTCCTCTTTCTAATGTATATATTTTTACCTGGAAATCTCAAGTACTTGTGAAGTGATAGCTTTGAGAATGACAAGTTCTAATGCTCAGAGTTACAGAAATAGTGTGTTTATTCAAGCTTTTC